CCCCCCCCCCCCCCCCCCCCCCCCCCCCCCCCCCCCCAGGAGCCTGAAGAAACCCCCAGACTGGCTGGACCAGGCAGGGGACCCCCAAGTACTGAAAGCAGTGGCCGGCACGCCTGGCCTCCGCGAGCACAGCACGGCATGTGGGACGGGCGGGCCCTTCCGAAGACGGGGTGTGCGGGGCGGGAAGGGGCTCACGACGCCCGCTGGCTTCAGACCCGGCGCCCGGCACTGCTCTTGCCGAGCACAAAGGTCAGGTCAGGAGGGGGGGAGCCCGTGTGCGTCTCCTGGACGGGCTGACTGCAGCAGAAGGTCCACAGCGCTGAGAGAATGTGGGAGGAAGACCGGGGGCCTGCCACGTCTTGGATCCAGGCCACCCTCGGGCTCCGAAGATGAACCAGAGAAAAACATGGTGCAGAAAAGCAGGACCGGGTGCAACTTCTACTGCTTCTGCCCCCGGTTTCCACACAGAACCCCGTTTTCTGAATCCAGGCGGTGACCTGGGTGAATGTCTGCCCATGGAGGCTGCTCCCCAGGCACCAGGGTTGATCTGGGAGCTATGGTGGCCAGGAGGGGGTCCTTCCTCTTCCTCCTGAGTCCAGGGTCCTCAGACAGAGAGGACAGTCTTCCCAGTCAGAAAGGGGAGGTCTGGACTTTGGGGACAAACTTCCCAGTCAGAGAGGGAAAACCAGAACTCTGGGAAGGGTGAATGATCAGTCAATGCACGAACTCTGACTGTGCTCTACGAGACGCAAAGCACGCCAAGTCAGCAGTCTTAACCAAGTGAGAGTCTCTTGCAAAGCTGCAACCCAAGGTCAGAGTGAACGTACTTAGATTTAAACGTGTGTTCTCTTCTACCGAAAGGCCTTTGGTTCAATTACCAGCGAGCTTCTGTTGCTGAAAGGCCTGGGGCTCGGTTCAGAGCCCTGACTTTGCCTTCACTTGACTTGTCCTTACAGGGGCCCTTGTGAGCCCCAGGCCCAACGCCTCTCGCTGCACAGGCAGGGCTGCTGGTCCAGGGAGCCAGGGCAACACGAGGAAACCAGAGGTCATCTTTGCCAAGGGAGTAAGCTCCTAGCACTGAAACTCCAAGTGCTAAAGAAAAATGGATTCTGGAAACATGGCTCTTGGACGTTCCAATCCTGGAAAAGGAGGTGTCGTCTTCATCCAGGAGATGTGGAAATCCACTCAGGAAACCTTCCCGATCCCACAGCGCGTGTCTCGGGAAGCACTGATGTACCTTCAGCACCCATCGGCTACTGACTGTGCTCAACCCACGCTGGGTGGGGAGGGTGGGGGACGTCCTGGGCCTCGCGGGGCCCGTGAAGAGTGAGATGGGCAAGAAATTGCAGACGTGCCAAACTGCAACCGTGAGCGGTTCTGACCCTCGAGAACAGCACTTTTAAGGCGCCTGGGGTGGTTCAGTCGGTTAAGCGCCCGACTTCGGCTCAGGTCATGACCTCGCGGTTCGCCGGTTCGAGCCCCGCGTCGGGCTCTGTGCTGACCGCTCAGGGCCTGGAGCCTGCTTCGGATTCTGGGTCTCCCTCGCTTCCTGCCCCCACACGCTCCCCTGCCAGGCTTGGAAAGGAATCCGATGACATTTACCCCCAGCCATTAAGGGTCCTCCTGCCTTTCACAATGACGTTGAAAGCTGGAAGGCCTTTTTCTGCCCTTGCACCGGCCTCCTGCGGAAAACCTGACCCGGCAGCAGGAAGGTGATGGTGGCTCAGAGGAGCCCCAGAGACCCATCCACATCTGCGGTGACTTCCGTCCAGGCTGGGCAGAGACAAACCTGTCTCGAGAGTCGGGAAGTGGGTGGGGGGGGAGGGTGTCTCAGGGACGAGACCCAAGAAAAACCTCACTTGGATGTTTTCCGCCTCGGAAATTACCGTCCATGCGTGTCTGGTGGAGCCGGCTTTCCCAGGAGAGCAGCCAGCACCCTGTTTCTCCCAAATTTCAGGAGCCACCTGTGCCTGCCTGTCTCTCCACTGATCCCGCAGTGTCCCTGGGTGAGCGGCGAGCAGGGGCGCTGGCTCTTGGGGGCCGCCAGCCAGAAGCCTACTGCCCCACCCTTTGCCAAGCTGGGGGCTTATGCATCTAAAGCCTCGTAGTATTTAGAATCCTTAGTTTCCCCTTTTCTAGTCCTTGCTAGATGGAGACCTGAAACAGCCAACTCCGGGAGACAGCAGATGCGTCGATGGGGAGAAGAGCTTAAATGCTAGAGGACCGCCGACTGGATGGTCCCTGGGAAAAGGGCCTGTCTGGGAAGTGCAAGGCCAACAGAAGACACGATTGCCTAAAACTGCCCCCACGTGAAGAACGGAATACAAAATACACGTATTTTAGGAGCAAGCATTACTGTCAGTTATTGACCGCCCCCCTCCCAAGTCAGCAAGAAAACGGAACAAATTTAAAGTTCCTGATGTAGCAGGGGCACCTGGGTAGCTCAGTTGGTTGAGCATCTGACTCTTGACTGCGGCTCACGTCCTGATCTTATGGTTCGGGACATCGAGCCCTGCGTCAGGCGGAGTCTGCTTGGGATTCTCTCTCTCCCTCTGTCTTTGCTCCTCCCCTGCTTGCGGCCTCCCTCTCCCTCTCTCTCTCTCTCTCTCTCTCTCAAAATAAATAAATAAACTTAAAAAAATAAAATAAAATTCCCGGGGTAGCAGATCCTGGTTGGCTGTCCCCGCGTCCATGCCCCTCTGCTCCTACTCACGGGCTCTGATTTGGTTCGGGTGACGCAACATCTACTCCTCAGGCCCATGACAGCTCCTTCCCTTGCCACCGACCGGCTGGGGCCGGGCCTGAGGCATCACTCAGGCCAATGAGACGCGTGGGAAAGTCAGGGGCTTCGAGAAAGATTTCCTCACTCATCACAAGAGACGCCAGGAAAGGCTGGACGGGAGGGGAGCTGGAGGAAGACAAAGTCAGTACACAGAGGACAGCAGAGCAGAAACACGGAGAGAACCTAACTCCCTGCCGTCACTGGGCCACTGGACGCGACGCATCACGTTTTGTACAAAACGCTCTACGTTTTGTAAAACGGTTAATGTTCTGACTACTTAAGTCATTCCGAGCAGGAGTCTTCTCTTACTTGCAGAGGAAGGAATCCTAACTGATATTTCCCGGAACCTAAGCAACTTGGGCATCACAGATGATGATCTTGGAATTTAAGAAAAAAAAAAAAAAAAGAAATCACTTAACAGAAACAACATCTCTGCTATAAAAAGGTTCAAGGACAGCAGAAACCGCCCTCC